TAATATAATGTACTTAAATTTTCATTAAAATGCAGGATACTTAAAAATAGTATATATTCCTGTGGTCAGATTGGCATCTCAACAATCTTATAAAATAATGTTGTTGTTTAATGGAAATATTCTCTAAAACTTATCTTTTCTCGGAACACTATTTTGTGATAATGAATATGAAAATTCCTAGTGAAAACTGAGCCTAAGATTTCATAATTATATAGCCTTATTGTGCTGAGATAATATCAATTTTAACTTTATAATGCTTTGTTTTGGAGAAAAAGTCAAAAAGAGAATATTAAACCATCCAAATCTTTTTCACAGATTCATAATTATACCCAAAAGATGATCACATTTTTATTTTCTCAGATAAATGTTATTGAATTAAATTATAGTATGTATTTCCCAACAAATTTTTTTATAGTAAAATGCAGTGTGATCTTGGCAAGTTAGGTATTGTAATGGAAATCTCTGAAAGTAATATACAGAATGTGAGTTATTAATGAATTCACTTACTTGAAAATACAGAACTATATGTATATATATTTACCTAAAATAACAAATGATCATATTCATTGTTAAAATTTGTAGCTAAGTTAATGTGATTCAAATGTCTAAGAACTCAAGTGTAATTAGAAATAGAGGAGAGGAATGAAATAAAAATTTAATCAGTGTCATTAACTCTAAAATCTACCAAGAAAATACTTTCTCATATGAATTTAGATCAATATTTCACTTACTGAGCATTCATTCTTTGAGGGACCACACATACTGTAGTGGTTTGGCTAGACTATACCATAGAGTGGAAGTGTGTATTAGTACCACCTAGATTCACGTAGCTAGACTCTATGAAACATGATGATAAAATCACCTGCTTCTCATAATTTATTACCATTGATGAGTCATGCACAACTGTATTTGAAATCTTTGTGTGTGTATAGTTTTGTAAAAACAGCTTATTCATACATAATTTATTTATAATTGAGATAAATGAATTCAAAAATCTTGACACGTTTGTAGTTTTAAAAACTTTCATCAATGTCTTGCATTATTATAGCAGAGCAGTAGAGCACTTGCCTTGTACAAGGTCTGAGGCCCTGGGTTCAATCGATGGCATTGTAGAAAAGAAACCAATGTAGTATCAACATATATCAAGATGACATATATATATCAACATGACATACATATCAATCATCCTTGGAGCTTTATCACGTCCTCTGGTAATCCCATCCTCCCAATTATTGGTGACCTAACATTACACTCACAAAGCCATTAATATGTATTCTTTGCAATATTCACTTTTTATAAATAATATAAATTAATATGATTTTTTCTAGCACCTTCATCAGCATTATTTTTATATTCGCCATGTCATATAAAAATGTTCATTATTTTGTATTGGTGGTTAAGATTTCAAATTAATATACCAGGGTTTCTTTTTATATTAAAATATATTTATTGCGATATATGCAAATAAATACATCTGCTTTTGAAAATTTCTCATATTACTACAGATAAAATTTCTAGAAACATTTATGTTGGTTCATATGGTAAGTTTTTTAATGTTTTATTTGATTATAAACTTTTCACCCAAGATGATGGGACTGTATACATCCTTACAATTTCTTTTTTTTCTTTTTAATTTTAATTTTAATTTTATTTATTTATTTTGAATACCCATCCCTCCACCAGTCCCCATTTCCCACTACCACGGATCGCAGTATCCCTCCCACCCCCCATTCCCCGCATCCCACCCTGCCTATGTGGCAGGGCATTCCCCTCTGTTCTCTCTCTCGTTTTGGGTGTTGTTGTTTGCAAGAGTTAAGTCTGATTTTCAGGGAGAAACGTTGGATGATTTACTTTCCATTGATCACTTTGTATATAAGGAGATGTCATGCGACCACTTATGCGGCCACGCAGTTTGGAAAAAATGTTCTGGTACCCACTCGCTCATGGTCACCAAGGTTCCATCTGGAGAAGGTGGGATGCAGCACCTACCCCATCTGGGACCTCCCGGTGATATCAGCTCTGTTTGGGACCTGTAGCATTCTCTGGGAGTTGTGGGACCCTCCAGCCAGTTTTCTTCTTTGTTGCTGTGTGCTGTAAGATGGCGCTGGGGGGCAAGTTGTGGGCATGACTTCTGGAATCAAAGGTTTTCTTCTTTGCTGCTGTGTCAAATCCTTACAATTTCTGAGAATTACCACTCCTATACATTGTTAACATTCTATGCCTTCCATTCTCTTTCCTTTATCAGTGGCTGGGGTGGTAGGCTAACTTCAACTAAATATATCTTAAACTTGTTTTATATTTTACTGATGCTATTAAATTTTTAGTTTTCATTAATAATATTTCTTAAGTTTGGGGCCAGAGAGATAGCAAAGGTGTTAGAATCTTTTTGCACTGTATGCACTGACCCTAGTTTGATCCAGAGTCCCCAAGCAACACCAGGAATGGTCCCTGAGTACAGAGCTGGAGTAAGTTATGAGTACAACTGGCTTGGCCCCACTGCAAACTAGTAGAATCTTTCTATGTTTTATTTAGGTCTTTTAAAAATGTATTTATAATATTTATATTTAATCTATATTTAACTTTTTAGAAGTATTCTAATAAGCTAATTTAATATGCTTGCATACTAATTTTAATGTTTGCTCTGACTCTGGATTGATATTTCCTCCTCTTTCTGAGTTTAACTTTTATTCTTTTTGACATAACTGTTATTTTTAATTAATTATTATGCAATATTAATTTTATCTTATTAGATTGTAGATATGTATTTCGTTAAGTCTCCACATGTGTTGTTTATAATATGGTTAAGTTACTTATAAACAGTCTGAGCCACTTTTTGGTTTGGTTTAATTTGGTTTGGTTTGGTTTGGGGCCACACCTGGCAGTGTTCAGTGCTTCCTCCTGCCTCTGTGATCAGGGCTCACCTCTGGTAAGCGCTGGAGAACACATGGAATGTCAGGGATTGAACCCGGGTCAGCATACTGCAAAATAAGCACCCTACTCACTGTACTATTGTTTCAGCTCCACAGTCAGATCCTTTTGAGTCTTTCTTTTTTCTGATTATTGGTTTAAATAATGTTTAGTTGAAGAAGCCCTGCCAGTGAGGCAAGATCCTTCTGTAAATCCTACCCAGTGCCTCTCAGATCTAATCTTCTTTAGTTTGGTTCTTTGGGGGTGCTAAATTCTCTCATCTTTATTCTTTTAAGTTGCTTCTTTCCTTGTCCAGATTGATGATATAGCAGGTAAGGCACTTGCTTGCAAGGAGCAGACCTGGGTTTGATTATTAACACTCCATAAATCTCCTTAATCACAGTTGTGATCCCCAAGCAAAGAACCAGGAGTAAGCCCTGAGCACTGCTGGAAGTGATGCCAAAACAAACACTGTGGGGTTACTGGAGAGATGGTCTTGGGTATATAGCACTTGCCTTGAATGCAGCAGACCTTAGTTTATGGCTCTTTAGGACCGCCATGAATGACTCAGTAGTGTAAAATCAGAAGTAGGTCCTGAGCGCTGCTGGATGTGGCCCACCCTCTTCAACCCTTAGAAAATAAAAACCAAAACCATTGTGGGACAGTAATATCTTTATTAAAAATTTCCAAGACAAAAAGAACATAACAGACAGATTTCAAGTCTCCTGCAGCCCTGACCTGCATAGAAGAACAGCCTTTAATTACTCTTTCTTTAGGGATTCAGAAGAAGAGTTGTGGCAAAGGGGTCATGAGCAAGGAGAATGGACTATATAGCCATGGAATAATGCTTTCAGGAAGCAAAGAAGCAGAGAAGACAAATGTCAATGTCTGCAACACAGGCAGATCTAGTCATAAAGTCCTGATGCTCATACAGCCTTGACCATGGGTCAGCACACTTGCCTCTGATCAGCTATTCAGACAGGAAGGCCACCAGGTCCAGAGAAAAATCCATTGTTAACTAATTATGTGGCAAATTATACATTTGATTTTCCTGGATGAGGGTAGGCTGCTTAGTTCTCAAGCAAATATTGGGTTTAAAGAGAGAGAGATCGATTTTAATTTTGAAATACTAAAGTATTTCATAATTAAAACTTCTGAACTCTGAAGTTTCGTTTGCTTTGTTTTTGTTGTTTGGACTTTCCAAGTGGTGCTCAAGATGGTCCTGAGCCCCTCCCAGTGATTCTCAACTAACTGGGTCTAGAGTTCAGAGTGAAATCCAAAGAAGCAATGATGCTCAATGGGGATGCTGTGTGGTTCCTGGATTTACGGGATTTAGCCCAATGGTACTCAGGAACTTTCAGTCCTGCGCCCCACAATGTTTGGGTAGCCTTCTTTACAAGGGATCAAATTAGTCTTGGGAATAAGACAGGCATGTGTCTTTAACCTTATACTATATCTGTGGCCCTAGAAGCCTTCAGCCTTTAACTATGCATGAGTTTATAATCACAACTTTTAAACTATAATTATAGGTGTCAATAATAATATATAACATTTTTAGTAGCAACTGGTAAGACATAGTCATCACCATAATGAGATCCAGTACAAAATACAATTTAATGCAATATATTTTAGATTCCAGAGTTGAAAACTTACTATATGAATGAGAATAGACATTTTAATATTGTGTTAAATGGTTTTAATTTCCTTGTTTACATAGGTTAAAATCATATACCAATCACAAATTGGCTTTTACTGATTTATTTTATGATAATTCTATTTGCCATTTCTTTATTTTTTCTTAGAGAAAGCAGTGTAAAGTAAATTTGCTATGTCCCTAAGAAAGCAGGCAGGAATTGAGAGGGAAACTGGGGACATTAATGGAGGGAAGGTCACACTGGTGTTGGAACAATAAATGCCTAAACAATTGTATTATGAACAACTTTGTGAATCATGGCATTTTAATAAGAATACATTTTTACAAAGAAGATAAAAAACTAATAATAAAATATAAAACTCTAAGCATTGGAATTCTAGAAATATAGACAGTAAACATAAAGTCTGGTCATAATTTTCTTGCCTAAAATTATGACAGTGTGCTTGCTTTGGCAGTACAAATACTAAAATTAAAATGATACAGAGAAGATTAGCATGCTCCTTGATCAAAGATGACATGCAGATTAATGAAGCATTACATATTTTTAGAAAGATCCTGGGTATATAAATAGAAAATATGCAATAAGAATCAAAGAGTATGAAATAAAGCAGTGACAGTCTCTTCAATGAATGGCTATGTTGTATATTTTTTTTAAAAAAATGGGGGGATAGGGGGTGGGAGGGATACTGGGATCCGTGGTGGTGGGAAATGGGCACTGGTGGAGGAATGGGTATTTGATCATTGTATAATTGAAACCCAAGCACAAAAATTTGTAAGTCTACAACTGTACCTCAAGATGTCTCACTAATAAAAATTTTTAAAAAATGAACTTATATCCCTATCTCACACCATGCACAAAGTCAATTCAAAATGGATTAAAGGTCTTGGTATCAGACCTCTATCCAAAAAAGAATATTGAAGGAAATATAGGAAAACTTTGTCAGGACATTTAAACCAAAAGGCATTTTCAAAGATTCAATATCATTGCTCCAGCCCATTGGCTGGAGCAATAGCACAGCGGTAGGGCGTTCGCCTTACAAGCGGCCAACATGGCCGACCCGAGTTCGATTCCTCCGCCCCTCTCGGAGAGCCCGGCAAGCTACCGAGAGTATTCGATATGCCAGACACAGTAACAACAAAGTCTCCAATGGAGACGTTACTGGGCCCGCTCGAGCAAATCGACGATCAACGGGAGGGCCTTTACCTTCACCTTTACCTTCAATATCATTGGCTGAACTATTGAAGAAATGGTACCACATCAAATTAAGAAGCATCTGCACTACAAAGGAATCAATGACCAAAAAACACCCCAACAGAAAGAAAAAGATATTTTCCCACACTCATCTAACAAAAGGTTAATACTCAAGTGTGTGTAATCACTAGGCAACTAGGGAAATCGTGTGGCTCTCTCTCGTCACCTGCGTTTGGTGGTCTCAGGCTGTTCCCCCAACTGGGATGGCCAATGCCACTGACAGATGAAGGAGGAAATGAGGGCCAGGTTGGTTTGTGATCAGTTAATATTTATTCCGTTCTCACCACACACCCTTTCCAGTCTCTCTAAGCCCCTCATTCCCTCTCCTCCTGGCTCCCTTGCTCATCTCCCTGCACTCCCACTCGTGACCTTTCATCTCTCTCTAGTCTCTCATCAACTCCCCATTGGGAGTAGCAACTAACCCAGGACCTGTAGCACAATCAACATATGAAAGCCCTTCCTAATCAGATCAGGCTCAAGGGCAAAATACTATTTAGGGGTCTTTCTCCTTTCCTTAGTCCAATAACTTAATTAACATCTTAATTAACATCTTAATATTAATGATTTTGTATGGACACAATAAGAGATACATTAAACTTATAGGATGGCTGATTTGGGGACATCTCACTATAGATCTCAGACTACAGTGCTCAGGCAAGATTAATCTTTCCTAACCGTAGCAGGGTCCTAATCCAGTTGTTACTTTTTGGATCATGACAGATTTTGTCCATGACCATGGCTCTTAACTTACAGTTAAGTAGTGTGGCACTTTAACCTAGCCCATTTCAATCCCAGGGTTGCTCACACCTTGCCCTGGGTCCATCCAGTGCCTTGCCGGTACACTGCTTTTGGGGTGCTAGGAAGTAAGGGCAACTGAGGCTTAAATCGAGAGAACAGATGTCCAGGAGTGAATATCATCTGTAGTCAATTAAATCCCAAGTTACAAAAGCATAGCATTAACTGTCTTCCTGTGTCTATACAAAAAGGGCATTACTCTGAATTAACTATGCAAAGATCTTAAGGAGAAGAGAAAAGCAATATTTACAAGTTAACAGAGTCTGATTAGGAGATAAAGGTGATTGACCTGGGGCCTCAGGGATAGCACAGTGGGAGGGCATTTGCCTTGCAAGCAGCTGTCCTGGGTTAGATCCTCGGCATCCCATATGATCCCTCAAGCACTGCCAGGAGTAATTCCTGAGTGCAGAGCCAGGAGTGACCTCTGAGCATCGCTGAGAGTAACCCAAAAAGGCAAAAAAAAAAAAAGGTGATTGACCAGTTGGGGAAGCAGAGCACAAAGAAAGAGGTTACAAATAAACACAGAGGAAAACACTGTGATGGGAGTAACCCAATAAACCTAACTTCCCTGTGGCAAAGCAGAAAGGACAAACCAATGTTATCCTACACTCAAGTTATAAAGAGCTCTTGGAAACTCAATAAGAAAAAAACAATCAATCCCATCAATAGTGGGGAAATAAAGTAACAGAAACTAGCTCCAAAAAGATATGCAGATGACATTAACTATCTATATGAAAAATATGAAAAAATTTCATTGAGTCATATCACCAGGTAAATGCAAATCAAAGCAATAATAAGCTATCATTTTACAACAGTGAGACAAATATATATACATATATATGTGTGTATAAAAACAGACAGTGATGGTGGTGATGTTGACTTATACAACCTTTTTGAAAACAGTATGTATACTTTTTTAAAAACTGAAAATTGAACTTCCATATTGCCCAGCATCTCCAGTTCTGGTATCTACTACAAGGAGCCCAAAACTCTAATCAGAAATGACACTTATTGCATTCATCTGGGAAACATAAAGTAACAAAATAGGAGACTAACACCCAAGAATAGCAGAGATAAGTACCAGGAGGTTCATTCCATGACTTGGAGGCCAGCCACACACTCTAGGGGTAAAGGCAGCTCAGAGAGAGAAGGGAGCACCAAATAAAGGGTGGTGGGAAGATCCACCCAAGATGGGAGATGCATGCTGAAAGTAAACTATAGACCAAACATGATTGCCACTCAATTCCTCTTTTGCAAACCAAGCACCCAAAAGGAGAGAGAACAAAAGGGAATGCCCTGCCACAGAGGCAAGGTGGGGTGAAGAGATGGGGGCTGGGAGGGATACTGGGATCATTGGTGGTGGAGAATGGGCACTGGTGGAGGGATGGATACTCGATCATTGTATAACTGAAACCCAAGCACAAAAATTTGTAAGTCTACAACTGTACCTCATAGTGTTTCACTAATAAAAATTAAAAAATTTTAAAAAAAGAAATGACACTTATGATCCTATATTCACTGCAGCACAATTCAGAATAGTCGAAGTTCAGAAACAACCTGAGCATACAAGAACACATGTTTGGATAAAGAAACTGTGGGGTAGACAATTGAATATTACTTGGTAATAGGAAAAGACAGAATCATGCAATTTGCTGCTATGTGCGTGATTTGGAAAATGTTATGCTACAGAATGCTATCTTACATGGGATATAAAGAAGCATAGTGGATATGAATGGCCTACCATGAATGGCCAAAAGCAATAGAGCCCAAGTTGTGGGCCACAGAACTGAGATTACAGAGTAAGAGAAAAGAAGAGAAAGGATGACATACTGATGGAGGCTTAATGCATTTCCTGAGAAAAAAAGAGAAAAAATTGTGGTAATGGGTAATCTTCTGACCTTAGTAGTTTCCTTTACATAGCATAAGAACACCTGTCCAGTCAAGTTTTCCATGAATATCAAATAAAGTTATTTATGTAAAGGTGCTCTAAAGTTATGGATTATAATGCAACCACAGGAAATTATGATTGATTATAAAATAAACAGCAATCACTATCAGTGGTATTATGAAATGAAAATTTATATCAAAGTGATTGCCTACAAGTAGCGTTATGAAAATCAATATATATACTGAAGGAAGTCAATATACTGAGTTATGAGAAAGTATATTATAGTCTTCAAAATAAGAATGACCTGATAAATAATTTAAAAGTTTTTAACTCAGGTATTGTCATAGTCACATCTTGGAATCATTTTAGACTTGGTTCCTGGCAACAGAACAAATAATCATAATAAGTGAGTCACATCTTTTTTTCATTTTTCCATGCATGAAAGTTTGTGTTCATACTACTCGTAACTCGATTTACTGAGCAACAGAATTATGATTAGAAAAGTAGTCTGCATTCCTTATTTTAAAAACTATTTTACAAATATTAAGCTCCAGCTGAACTTTCAGTTAATAAAGGGCACTGCTTTGCTACTAATACTTGCTGTCTGATTAGGTTGGTAGTTGCTGACGTTTGGGGGGCTATGGAAATTTTAAAATTAGGCAGTAGTGAAATTTTTTCACAGTAACCAACTCTCACAGTCACTAAAGATTTTTCTGTAGTATGTGGTGCTTGATTTGCATTTTACCCAAAGTAAAGTTTTATCAAAATTGGTGTCAATCCTCTAAAATCTCACTATTGGTTTATTAATAAAACTTATGTAATAGTTTTTAAGAATCTTTTATTGTCATTTTAATTATCATTTAATAAAAGTTCACAGAATCATCACTAGAGATAGTTTCTGTCTCAATGAGCAAAACAAGTTCTTTGCTCAGCCATTAAAAAAAAAAACTCCTCATTCACTTAACTTTTTATCACAAGATTAAGATAATTCAATCACATCTTCAGTGTCCATTTCTTACTCTACTTCTCTTGCTATTTCCACCAAACCTGCTGTTACTTTCCTTCACTGAGATCTTGAACCCTTTAAGTATATTGAGGGATTAGAGTTTTCTAAAGTCTTGTAAATGCTGATTTTATTTTAACCTTCCTACATGTATTAAGGATTTGCTTAGGCACATTTCTAATGGTTAATTTTCTTCAGAAGTTTTTCTATTTATTTTGACCAGACCCATCAGATAAAATACTTTCAATAGTATCTCTAGCCTTACAAAATGCATCTTTTATATAGAATACTTAAAGTTACAAATGAATCCTGGATTTATAGACTAAATAATTAGACATGCAAATAACATTAACTACATTATCTCCCTACATTAACATCTTTACCAGTGTTCTTGGGTGACAGGTGCATTGCCAATAAGTAGTAATATTTTGAAATCAATCTATTTTTTTTTAAATTCCAGAGCAAAGAGCTCATGATGGTGGGCTTAAAATATTAAGCATGTTGTAAGTAGATGTGCTATTATCCAGGTTCCATTTATAGAACATTGGTAGAGTAGATTTTGCATAATTCTTAAAGAGATGTAGGGGCTTTAGACCTATGAATATGCA